ACAGAGGCAATAGAGGTTCACGGGCAATCGGTTTGTTAAAGGTCTGAGGGAATTTTGAACTCAGCAGTGTAACAAATTGACCGGATCAGACTATAAAAGCCCAGTAGTGTAATCCTGGACAGCTTTGCGCATTTTCCACGGCAAGGCCTAGACTATGATGACCTCCAATGAATGGTGGTTGTAGGGAATGGGAGATGAGGTGTCGTTGAAGGCGGAACACGGTCTTTCTTTCCCCCGCATGGAAGCTCGAGCTCGTTGTACTGGTACCCATGTACCTTACATTGGTGCCGAAAGCTCCAAGACAAGCAACCGGGAATATTACTCTGAGCAACAGTTGACGATCGTAACCGGAGAGCTAAACTTGCCAAATTTCCCGCCGAAACGGGACACGGAGAGAGGCACGGAGGTCAATTGCCAATCGCCGCCCACAGACTCGACAGCACCACGGGCGCATCGCGCGAGCGAGCTTCGAATCCGAACAGCCGAAAAATCACTTAGAAAGCTAACCTGTCGGCGGCGCCGGCGAAACGACCGCAAAGATGCGCGCGACGCCCTCACTGATGGCCAAGGGCATATTCTCCCGAACCATGGACGAGTTCAAGCGTCGCGCAAGTATTGGTAAGTTCCGACTATACACTAGTTACCCTTACCTGGATTGTACGGGTCAAGAAAGCTAACGTAACATTGCGACAGTCGCAAAAGCCGAAGGCATCAAGGGCCCCTCGGGTCCCTACATCCTCCAAGACTTCCGCGCACCGGGCTCGACCGACGACTGCAAACTCATGTCCGACCAAGAGATTGGCGGCTTCTCCCACAGCGCCCTCGAATGGGTCTCCTCCACCCCCTCCTCGACAGCAACGACAACATCACCACAAAGCACGCCGACGACAAGCGCAGGCCACGCCCGCTTCCACGGCACAATATCAACAGACCTCCCCAAAAACGACCCCAAAATCCAACGCACAGGCTTCGCGGCATGGCGGACGCCAGACCAGAAGCCCACGCTCTTCGGCAAGGCCGTCTGGGACATTGACCCGTACTCCTACCTCGCGATGCGCGTGAAGTCGGACGGCCGGAGCTACTTTATCAACCTGCAGACCGACTCGGTGGTACCGACGGATTTGCACCAGCACAGGCTGTTCGCCAAGCGGCCCGGGGAGTGGGAGACGGTGTTTGTCAAGTGGAACGAGTTCGTAAGGACGAATCACGGCTTCGTTATTGAGCCGCAGACGGAGATGCTAAGGTCCAAGGTCACGACGGTTGGCGTAGGGCTTACGGATCGGGTGCCGGGGCCGTTTGAGCTTTGTATCGAGAGGATTTGGGCAACGAATGATGTTGATGAGGTTGATGGGGGCAGTGAGAGTGATATTTTGGCTGCAGATGAGGCGAGAGAGGCGCGGGAGAGCGAGTTGAGGAATCGGCAGGGGGAGAGCATTCGTTGGAAAGAGACGTGAGAAAATCGGAGAATTTTTGAACAGATGCTGACTTGGAAATCGGGAGTGCCGGTCTGGGAATGCATCACAAGCTCCTGAACAGAGCAGGTTCGCTAGAGGGCACATGCTGGCTTGGGAGAGAATTTGAGTTCAATAGCTGGCCCGGCCGAAGACCTCAGCCCATCATCAAATATTGTAGCAATATCTGTAAGATAAGGTACAAATGTAATGCATCATGTCAAGAACCAGGTGTAACGCTTTGGGGAAGAGATGACATCGTTCAACGTAACACCTCAGAATAAATCTTCTTTGGTTGAATAGCTACTGTGATTTTGAAGATTTGCCACTCAATTAGAATCAATCGCCTTCCCCTGAGAAAAATTACAACTTCGACGTATAATACTCGACAGCGATGTGTGTCGTGAATGTAGTCGCGAAACAGACGTTCACGAGCCATACAGGCATTGGTGACCAATCACATTTCTCGCTGGCTGCTGTGGGGACGCCCAACATCACAGAAACCTCACTGTCAACACCGAGACTAACAAACAGAAGAGCTCTAGCCGCCAAGATTTCGGACGTTGTTTCGTGCTTTGTAATCACTTCTCGCCCGGCTGACTTCTCCTGGTTGAAATTTGGTTGCTACGGGACCTTCAGTTGACGCAGGCGCGACGCGCCGTGCTGCTTGACCTCACCTAGCTCAAGTGACATGGTCAACCGCGACGCCCACGGGTTCACCGTTCACGCCATCCGATGAGCTTCCGGGCAAGCCAACCCCATTGGGACTGAATATCTGACGAACCTGCATAACTTTTGCAAGCAGAGCCCATAATGGCTCGATACCTCACGCCTGCCAAGATTGGCCTCCTCGCTCTCATCGAGCTGTACACGGACGAACATGTTCCCGCCACGGCAATCATCCCCGTGCTCTCCTTCATCACATCACATCTCCTCGACCCAGATCCTCAGTCCTTCACCAACACCGCCAGCAAGGACACGCGTTGGAGGAAAGCCGAGAGCACCGTCAGCCTCGTCATCGGCATCAAGGACTTTGAAAAGCTGCTGAGCGCCCACTCCGTCGTTGTCGGCCTGCCGGGGCGGAAGCTATGGGACACGTTCCTCGCCAAGCTATGGGGGATCAACTCTCTCGATCTGCTCCACGACTTCTTCGCGCGCCAGTCGCAGTGTCTGGCCAAGACGAAGGAAGAGCTGCTGCGGGCGGCGGGCGGCGACGAGACCATTGCCGCGCAGCTGTTGCAGGAGCAGCAGCAGAAGCCTGGGATCACACTGTCAAGAAACTCGCCGCTGGGTCAGTTTGTGCGGCGGTGCCAGCTCGAGTTCACAAGGCTGCTGTTCCACGATGCGACGCAGCTCTGGACGGATTTCGTGCAGTATCGGCAGCCTACGGCGGGGTACCTCCGGAAGAGGAACCCTTCCTTTGGCAGGCTCAGCTTCGACAATGTTCTCATGACGGGCGAGCAATCGGAGTGGGACTTGGAGGGTGTTGCGGCGCTCACATCTGTCGTCTATGGCGATATGGTGAGGAACGGTACTCCTGCTGCTGTGCCGGTGAGCACAGACGACATTGAGCTTTTGCTGGAGTTCCAGATCGAGCAGATGCAGAGTGAGCAAATCTTTCTAGGTTTTCAGGATCCAAAGCTGACAAGAGTAGAATTCGGCAACCGAATACCATTGGAACTGAGGAACCAGTTTCATGATCTTCTTGGCGACAGTTTTCTCGTGCCTAGCTTGAGGCATTATCTAAGGCAACTCACTCCGACCATTGTTGATGGACACTTTTGCTAATATTCTGCAGTTTCCTCGATGCTTGGAGATCAGGCGACTATCCTACAGCATTTGATTTCCTCCATCAATACTTTGACTACACGATGCAGAACCGAGACAGACTATTCTATCAATACGCCTTGATGAACCTGGCAGTTTTGCAAGCAGACTTTGGGTGCTACAGAGAAGCCGTCGCAGCCATGCTCGAAACCGTATCAACGGCCCGCGAGAACCGCGACATGACCTGTTTAAACTTTGCACTTAGCTGGCTTTTCCATTTTGGCAGAGCACACCCGGACCTTGTGAGAGACCTGGAGGCAGACAGTCTCCTCGGCACAGCCAAGGAGAGTCTTTCCTACCTGCGAGTCAAGGCGAAGGAGACGGGAATGTGGACATTGTGGGCGTCAGTGCTGCTCAGTGAAGCGAAGCTTGGCCTGGCAAACGGCGAGAGCGTGGCGACATCGGTCGAACTTGTGGTTCGCAGCTCTCACCTCATTGTCGAGCGGAACATGAAGAATATGTTTGGCGCCCAGCTGTCCATCCTGATTGCTCTGTGGGATAGGCTGGGGCTGTCGCAGCTCTCGGCCATGGACTGTGAGATTTTCTTACGGTGTCACGCGAGACATTCGATATTCGACGACGAGCTCAAGGTCACATCTCGTTTGGCGTCGCAGCTCGCGGCGAGAGGCAAGTTTGACGAGGCGTTGCAGAAACTAGAGGCCCTCGACGAGAACGCCCTGCGATCATGGAAACCGAGCCAATACTGGTACAAGTACCGGGGCATCATCAAACTGAAGCGGGACCTGCACCACAACAACCTCGACGGTGCAGAGCAGCTGCTCTCGCAGCTTTTGCAGTCCAAAAAGGACGACTTGGAACCGGACATGGCCTTTGTCGTCGACTTACTCCACATCGACTGCCTCACGCGGCGGGGTGACCTACAGGCGGCTTTCAACAAGGTCGAAGACATGCTGGCGGCGATTCGCGACGATAAGAGAGACATTTCGCTCCGCGTGCGGCTCATGCTGATCAAGGTTCACCTTTATGACAAGTGCGGGCGTCCGCAGCGGGGCTTCACCATCGCCATGCGCGCCGCGAGCATGGCATGGAGGGCGAGGCTGGTCTCCTGCCTGTGGCAGGCCATCGGCGCCGTTGCGAATATCCTGACGTCGCTGGTCGAGTTCGACGCCTCGGTGCAGCTCCTCACGGCCGTTCTGCCGCGGAGTCTCGAGTGCGATTCCGCAGCGCTGAGCGGGCAGCTGTACTCGTACCTAGCCGACGCCAACATGGGCATCGCGGGGACGATGGCACCGCAATCGGCCAAGAGGCGGGAGTACTTGACCCGGGCTACGGGTGCCATACAAAAGGCGTTTGATCATTATTCGAGTATCGGGGATATCACAAGGCAGTGTGAGATGATGGCCAAGAAGGCAACCATCATGAAGGTTGCGGGGGATAAGGTGCTGGCAGCGGATTACGCGGCTGCGTATGTAGCCCTGCGCAAGGAGGCGGCAGCACTTGCGATATGACATGTTAGCAACCCCCGGAATACCTGCAGAGGGATATGATGAGCAGCAAGTTCACATAGCACAACGCATCAATACCCTTCACGATGACACTCCTCAAGTTTTTGAAAAAGGCCGCATCTCTCGATTGCTGTGACATAGGGAAAATGTACAGGATAGTCTACCCCCTCAGCAGGCGTGTCACACCCCGAGTCTATGGATCGCTCCTTCGTCTCCTGGATTCAGCGATATCACGTTCAAACTAGACAGGCTTAATTTAAGCCTTGTCGGGGTTGTGGTAGTTGACGTTGTCGTTCCAGCTGTTTTCAGTGTTAGTCTCTCCCACAAATTCACTTCCTCGTCCCGCCGCGTGCATGAAATTGAGCGGGGAGGGGACCAGAGGAGAATGATGAAAACGTACAAGATGGTCTTGTCACCGTTGCCCCATTGGTAGTTCTTGGTGCGGATGTTCTGGTAAGAGTACTCGACGCGCTCCTCCAGAGGGGGCATGTGGCTCCAGTGGTCCCAGTGCTCGTTCCAGAGGACGTAGGCGTTGGCGGCAGCGAGGCCGAGGGCGGGGATGCAGGCGCTGTGAAGGTGAGGAGCGTCGGGTTAGCATTTGCACACTTGAAATTAGTCTCCCATGTCTCCCCAGCAGTTCCCGAATCAAATCCCGCGCTCTTTCCCGGCTGCTTCGTGATACTCAATTATAGCGGCATTGGCTGAGATGGCCGGGCAGATATCGAGCGGGATGACAGATTCGGTGCTTGAGGAGACCTCGACTGAGATTTATGGAGGGGTGGTGTGCATACTAGATGGAGATCTTGCGCCAGAGGCCTACTCAATATGTTAGCATCTCATGTTTTTTCCCTCCATGTTGTATCTAGTCCGGGTCCTCCCTTCGCCGCTCGATGGGTCAATTGAGCCCAATTGGCTCCCCAAAACTCAAAACATTGAAGTATGTCAGACTCGAACAGGGCGGAGAAACGAACCGGTGGTTTGCGCGGCGTGGTGCTTGGCAGCCTCACGCTCCTTGATGAAGGCGTTCTCGGTGGTGCTGGCGAAGCGGCGCTGGACGGTGGAGCGGACGGCCGGGGCGCGGGCGGCACGCGCGGCGGCGGAGAGGAGCTGGCGCTGCATCTTTGTGTTTGGAAGATATCGGTGGAGGGGAGAGGTTTCGATTTCGGCCGGGTGGGCGTTGGTGGTGGATTTCGAGGTTTTGTGAAGTCGGGAGTCGGAGGATCAGGTCATTCTCTATCCAGAGCTCGGCTAGCGGGAACGTTCACGGCCTTGCAAGTGCCTGGATTGTAAGGCCTAAAGATGGCTTATGGGGATGACTAAATGATGTCAGGTCATTTGCGGAGAAAGCAGGAAGGAGGGCCCGGGTTTGGTACGTGCCTTAACCAACACCAGATGCTCGTCTCAGCTTACCTTCCTGACTTCGACTCAGATTCCTGGCTTCCTCATGTTGAATGATCAAAAAAGAATTAGTGCAATAATTCTAGGAGATGTATTTGCACTGAGAGACACATGATAAAGTAGAAGAATATGTCGCGTTCATGTGTTGCAGCAACTTGCAGTATGTCGCATTTGGTCACGTGCGTATGCAATCACGGGACACCGCGCAAACCGTCGCGTTCACCACTTCAATGACGGCAGCTACGTCGCGTTGACCAGGGCTTGACAGTTTAATTGAGGCGTCCCAGCGTCGGTTCTCATGCAACTTGATTCTTTTGAAATTCAACTCGCAATTTTGATACCCTAGTCATCCATTTCCACAATTGGAGGCGAAGATAGCACTTGAACCTCTGGGCTTGATGCAGCAACCCAACCTTTGACATCTCGGGCATGGGCATGAAAGCGACGTGATCTCGGCGTTTGTGAATTCGAGTCTTTTCCAATTGTGATATCAGGAGCAAGCAAATCACCGGCCAGGATGGGGTTGCGTATTGTGACATGGAATGGTGAGTTGGGTTCCTATCATTTGACAGATGTTCGCGCTCGCTCACGATCCTTGTATCACAGTTAACGGCATCAGGTATGTCTACTTCAACTGAGGATATCCATGTCCTTCAATTGACACTACCGAGAAATCCGTTTGGGTATCAGCCATGGAGCACACAACGAACATTTCAGGTCCGTTATCCTTTTTCCTCACGCGTTCCCACTTGTTACTGACAAAAGCTTATAGGCAATGTTCGAAACCCTCGAGGCGGACATCGTAGTCATGCAAGAGACGAAGATTCAGCGCAAAGACCTCAAAGATGACATGGTACTAGTACCTGGTTGGGATGTATTCTTCAGCCTACCGAAATACAAGAAGGGTGAGCTCACAGCGGTCATCGTCCCTCAGTATGTTTCTCACCTCTTACCCCAGGATATTCCGGTGTCGCGATATATACCCGGAACGCAACATGCTGCCCCATCCGCGCCGAAGAAGGCATCACAGGCGTCCTTCCAGTTCCAAACTCAACTACCAGCTTTCGCGACCTGCCTGAAGACCAGCAGATCGGCGGCTACCCGCGCGCGAGCCAGCTCTCCAGCGAAGTAGATGAGGCGACGCTCGACTCGGAAGGCCGGTGCGTCATCCTCGAGTTCCCGGCCTTTGTGCTCATCGGCACCTACAGCCCCGCCACCCGCGACTCGTCTCGCGACGACTTCCGACTGGGTTACCTCGGCGCCCTCGACGCACGCGTGAGGAATCTCGTCGCGGCCGGGAAGCAGGTCATCTTAACGGGTGACCTCAACGTCATTCGCGAGGAGATGGACACCTGCAACCTCAGGGAGACGCTCCGCAAGGAGGGCATGACTGTGGAAGAGTGGATGCAGGGGCCAAGCCGTCGGTTCATCAACCAGCTCGTCGTCGGTGGCCAGGTCGTCGGCGAACGCGACGAAGGAAAGGAGACGCCCGTCCTCCATGACTTGACGCGTATCTTCCACCCCACCAGGCAGAGCATGTTCACTTGCTGGGACACAAAGAGGAATACCCGCCCAGCGAACAACGGCAGCCGGATAGACTATATCCTATGTTCGTCAGGCATCAAGGACTGGTTCACGGATTCAAATATTCAGGAGGGGCTGATGGGATCGGACCACTGCCCCGTATTCGCAGTCATGAATGACGTCGTCACAACGGACGGTAAGGAGTCACCCGTACTCGACGTGATGAACCCCAGTGGTATGTTCCACGACGGTAAACGGCTGAGGGAATGGTCACAAAAGGATCTTCTTCCCCTATCCGCGAAGCTCATCCCCGAGTTCGACCGAAGACGCAACATCCGCGACATGTTCATGAAGAAGCCCACCCCAAAGCCCGCACCAAACCCCGGATCGACTCCTCTCGAGTTACACAGTCTTCCAACCGAAGATGGTGGCGACTACCCCATGCCGACTCAAGAGACGCAAGACCCGGAAGCCTCCCAGGCAACCACGACGACCGAAGACGTGCCCGCCGCCTCACAGGCATCCATGCAGTCCAACACGGCAAGGTCACCACCCCCCAAGTCGACACTCTCCTCGTCACAAAGCACCAACCCGCTCGTAAAACGACCAGCCGAATCGGCAGCATCAGCTAAACGAGCCCCCAAGAAGTCGAAAACCAACGAATCCGACGGTAAGGCCCAGAGCACCCTCATGGGCTTCTTCAAGCCAAAGAACCCGCCACAACCACCGCCAACCCAGTCTTCGCCCACTCAAGCAGACGCGGCGAAGACCAATCATCCACCATCGCCCTTCACCAAGAACAAAGCCGCAAGTGATCGTGGTGCTGCTGCTAGACCTATCCGTTCCCTATCGGGACTATCAGAAGCGGTGGGCACGGTAGAACAACCCGACAGCAACGGCGGCGGCAAAGAACCCACGCCTCCTTCATCCTCCGCGAAGCCATTCGAGACGGCGACTTCGGAAAAGGTCTTTGACCCCATTGAAGTCAAGGAGTCTTGGTCAAAGTTCAACCTGGGGAAGAGGGTCGTGCCAAAGTGCGAGCACGGTGAGCCCTGCATCAGCTTCCAGACCAAGAAGCCGGGCGTCAACTGCGGTAAGTCTAAACCCAACCACACCACACACACGCCTTACCCCCTTCTTACTCGTTTATGCGTCCACCGAGGCCTCTGTCCTACCCTCCTCTCTCTCGTCCCCCGACATATCCCGATCTTTCTGCCCCCGCCCCCCCTCGACCCCCATTCATAGCTGATGATCCACATAGGCAGGTCGTTTTTCATCTGCGCCCGTCCTCTGGGGAAATCCGGAGAAAAGGAAAAGGGGACGGAGTGGAGGTGCGGTACTTTTATATGGAGCAGTGATTGGAAAAAGAGCCAGTCTCAAGCGTCGTAGTCTATACATTTCTAAGGGGCGATGTGGAGTCACGCGAGATTCGATGAACAGTGTGACGAGCTGTAACCGTTACTATCGAAAAGAGATAGCTAGGTACTTTAGTCGTGCAGAAGAAGAAGATTAATGCAATGAGACATGAACATTATGATTCCATTATCGTTTTAGTAAATCTATCAAGCATTCTATATCGGTATTGTGGTGGCTCATCTTCGTATCATAGCAGAGTTAGACATCCGATTCTTCGGCAGCGACGACGCGAATTGCTCTATCCTTTCGAGTCTTGCTCTGCTTGAAGTAGCTCACTCTTTGCTTGAACCCCATTAAGAGCGTCGCCACCGTCTCCGCCCAATGATGCGTCCGGAATTCGCCCATCTTGTGAGTAGAGCAGGTAAAACTCCATGAAGTGGCTTTGGAGCCTTACACGAATTCGAGCCTTTCCTGGTCTCGACAGGCCCCTAAGTTAGCAGAAGAAGTCTCTTTTGCTCCGGCTGAGCATGGTAAGGGTGAGTGCCGGGCACGGCATGTCTGCTTAGTTCTGGCCCAAACATCAAGTGTTGGTGTTTTTTTGACTTTCTCGGCGCGAGCTGGGACATGGCTCTGAGGGAAGACGAGGCATACTCGGCCTAAGGCAGCAGACGAAGGTGCTCCTTCGCGGCAACTTGTAGTCGCGAAAATTCTTGCACAGTCATTGAGACCTAGCATGGTAGGAACTAATGCAGCGACGTTGTGATGGATCGCTTCTTGCTCCTACGATCCTTGATCTCCATCTCTAGAACGGGGTGGCAGGGACGATTAGGCTGAAGTGCTCCTCCGGTTGCGACGACGCTTCTCGGAAGGCTTGCGTGGCGTGTACCGATAGTCAGGGTGCATCTTGTTGTGGCGCTCCTTGTAGGCTTTCGCGAGAGCCTTGTATCTTTCGCGGACTTCATGAGACTCATTATTCCAAGCTTTTCCTAGGATTCCGGCTTTTCAAAGGTCAGCGAGATGGTGTAGGGCTGTTGAAATTCAGTCACCTACAGATATCATTGTTCTGGAGTTGAGGGTTCATCTGTTTGATTTGGGCTTGGTAGTCGCTGCGGTAGAGGATGAAGGCGTTGGGAGGTCGTGTGATCTTGACTCTTCGTTCAGGAGCGTTGACGAACTGGGTGGTTGCACCGGGTGCTTCCTCGAGGAGTTGTGGTGGTGGTCGAGGGACGACGACAGCAATACCGTTGACGGAGACAATCATGTGTGGACCGGCAATGAACCTCTCACAAGGCCCAAGAACCCATCTATCAACGCTAGAATGCATTCCGTCCTTGACCCACATGACAGGCTGGCCCAATATGCGCCTGTGATGAATGTTAGAGACTTTATGAAAGAGTGGTATTAGACAGGCACAAAGTAGATATGGACGCGTACCCCATCTGCAATGCCATGAAGAGCCGACCCTCCTCGCCAAAAGCAAAGTAATCTCTTGCAGAGACAGCTATGGTGGACTCGAATGTGTTGAGGCGAAGGTCCAAGATCTCTGTCACAATCTTTAGGATCTCAGGGTGCACATGGGTAGGATCAATGTCACGAGCAACGATGTTGCCAGGGTTGAATGTCAACGCCATGATGAATGTGAATGGCGGTGTAAGGTAGAATGCCGTATCAATAGGTTGTTAGGGGGTGTCTTGCGTGTCTTGTGTCTCTTGGAGATATTGAGTAACAAATCAAATAAGGTTCTGATAAAGTGGTGACTTTTTTCTGGGCTGTGATGGAAGAATCTTGATTTGAAGCTGGCTGTGCCGATGGTCATAAATAAGAGATCAGATCAAGAGGAATCCAACGTGGATGCGGATGGCAACGGATGATATCCGGGACTTATGGCGGGAGAGATTTGAGGGAGACAACATGGTCCGCACCAGGATGTTTCTGGAGTAGCCCATGGAGGTGGAAGGAAGTCCTAAATTGGGGGAGAAAGCGCCACCTTCCCCTCAGGAAGCGACGAAGTCACCTCATAGAATTGGCCGAGGACGGTTGGTTGTGGTGTGGAAGGCCTAGTAATTTTTGTGGGACGATGTCTTGAGGAGGAGGAAGGAGGAGGTGAAAGCTGCAGGGGGGGGGGGGGGGGAGGGGGGGGGGGGGGGAGGAAGGGGGGGTGGGGGGGGGTAGGGGGGGGGGGGGGGGGGGGGGGGGGGGGGGGGGGGGGGGGGTGTGGGGGGGGGGGGGGGGGGGGGGGGGGGGGGGGGGGGGGGGGGGGGGGGGGGGGGGGGGGGGGGTAACGTGGGTGTACGTGGGTGTAGGTACGTGTGTGGGTGTGTGTAAGTGTGCGCGTGGTGGTTGCTTCCCACTCCAGGTCTGGCCAGACACTACCTTAGACTTGCCGGGGTTGTCTTTCCTCTTCGGATGGGGGTGGGTGAAAGCTCTGGGGGTGTGAGAATACCCGGGTACTTGTCATACCTTACCTCTCGTCACCTTACCTTACTTTACTCACCTTCCTTACCAACGTGCCTGCCTTACCAAACCCATCTGTGCCAACCTCGAATTTGGAGATGGTGACCTCCACGATCGGATCCCGGTTTGGGACACGGTATCTCTCACACTGTGCACACTTGTATCCTTCGAGGGGCCTGTCTCTCTTCAATCACCATAGGTATCCAGGAGGCTCCCCTCTGATAGAACGGTACTTTGTCTGGATCACGGCCCGAAGATGCAGGTACCTCGGCCTGGCTCAAGCAACAGAAGCCAGGCTCACCTTACCTCACCGCGAGCCCACGCAGCAAGCCTCCGGCTGTCATCTACCTTACCTTGTCAACGGCCGCCGACGGTCCCTTGGCGAATCTTTGTGCTCCTCCGTCCTCGGCACTGCCAGCTGCAGCCTCCCTTCGCTACCACTACCTTGGCTTACTTCACAGATACCTGCGGCAGTCTCTATTCAAGGATATCCCCTCTTCCCGCATATGCTTGACCTGCTGCTGATTTATACCAGAAGTCAAGAACCACCGCTTTGTGTCCTCTCCGCGTTGGCGATCCTCCAGCCGTGCGCGAGTACTATGATGCTGAAGCCGTCCCGAAACCGCGTCCTAAAGGGCCCAGAAAGTCTGGGGACTGTATCAGTTGTATCAACGCTGGGGGCACGAGGGGATGTAGCGAGCAAGCTAAAGCCTTCTATCACACGTTACTTGAGCGTACGTGTTTGTACAATTCAGATCGCCGACTCGGTGATCATTCTCTCAGCATCACGTCTACGGCTCAACTCGATCACTCGCTCTCATGCTGATAACTCCCTTGTGTCCCTGTCGCCTGCGCGCTTAGCGGGCTGTGCATACGAGTTGAAAGAAACCAACGACGCACACAACGTTTTCTCTCGCGTATAATTCCCTTCGACGGCGGAAGCAACACCAACAGCCCGGTTGAGAATGAAGCAGAAAGCATATGTGCGGCGGTCAGTGCAAGGAACATGCCAGGCTGGCTTCGACACAAAACGGTTGCCCGCCAACTTGAGAATTCAGCATCCTGGATGAGAGTATGGCATCGCCCGTACTCGATGACATGTACCTGCATCTCAATCAAAGTCGTAAGCCAACGTATCACAGCCCCAGATTCTCACAAGCTGTCCAAACTGCTTTTACGAAGTTTTGACGACGAGATGGGACACTTGTCGGGGACGAGGCAACAGTTGACTTGTAGCCTCTTTTCGAGAATTTCCCGCCGCACCACATTGTGCAAATTCTGCTAGCTCAATAAGGCTTAGGCGAATAGGCGAGGTGTAATTTCTTGGATTGGTTTGTTCCTGTCACGCTTGTCTCCAAGATACTCCAGTGTTTGGGCCAGCCTTTCCCCTAAAGTCTCCGTCAGATGTTATCGCGAGCGCTGCATTCGGTCAAGGGTCATTTTTGGCTTATACAACCTGGTGCTGTCTCTTCTTTCTTTTCTCATCGCACCCCCAAAAAGCTATTTTGACCTCATCTTCTTACCAGGTTCCTACCATCATTTCTCTTTTGTACTTGAGACTCCCCACCATCCCTACATGCATTTACACCACACTTACCGCCACTATCCGCTCACCACACTTACCACTTCGCCTTCGCCAACAATCTTGTGCCCGTTCTTCCAAGGCACAATGTCTCACAACGAGGAATCATCACCGACGGAATCCCGTGTTGTTTTGAGGACCCAGGGTATGAACGAAGTCTTACCGCGTCATGATCTCGACATGTTCACGTCTGCTGGAACGTACCCGCACGGGAGTTGGGAGCTCTCTGAGGTCGGTCAGCCTCACCAATTCCAAGCCGCTTACTGCGTGCGAGATGCTCAGGGGCAAAAAGTACGCGCGCCAATACCACTGGTCAGCCTCTCCGCAGTTACAAATCAAGAAGAAATTTATCAGCACTGCACAGTCTATCACTATGATCCGAGTGAGTTGCGCGATTGGTAAAATGACTTTTCAAAAGCTGATCTTGAGCAGCATGCCAGAGCCGACGTAACACAGATCACCACCAGACAGCTTCCGCCTTTGGCCAGCAGCAACACCATCTCAACAATGCTCTGCTACAGGAGCAAAGCAGTTACCAACCGACAGCATTGGATGTCCAGGTGATGGATCAACAGCACATTCCTTTCGACGTCCCGGCCGATGATTTTTCTCGGGGTAGTGCTGCCCTCCTTTCTAGTCCGCCAGCATATTCATCAATAGCGGCACAGCGCGCGAGTCCCGTGGAAAAAGACAGGGGAATGACGCGAATATCGACACATGGCTCAAATATTATCTGCTTTCCATCGGATAACGCCACTAGTGAATATTCACGTCGGGAGGATTCGCTGGTTGTCAATACTTCCCACAGTAACTCATACCATGAGGCACTTCAGCATTCCGCGGCAGACAATCTCAGTGGGCTTGGGCTATTCACTCCTCAAGAATCACTCGAAACGGGCGTCCACGGAGAGAATTTCACGATGAATGACTCTTTCACAACCATGACGCTTTCGCCCCAGACATTGTCAATGGATGAACAGGCATTCGACGAGCTTTTTCGCCAGAGGCACGATGCCAGCTATGACTTTGACGAAACCAATGTAAGAGGCAATCCAAACGAGGTGGGAGATGGTTCAGCCACGGCCAAGAAGGAACGATGAAACTTTGCCTTGCTCGTTTTTTAAATTTTCTATTTGTCGGGTTTAGGCATGGGAGGCAAATTGAGGACAGTAAAGAAGGAAAGTTGGGGGCCATTTTCTGCAATGGGGCTACTATGACGGAGTTCAGGATAGGTGGAAAGGGCAAACGACCATTTCTTCATTCTTCTGAAACAGTAGAGGCCGACTCAAAGGAGCTAGCTGCTGATCTTCAGCAATGAGTTGACCGCCTCTCCAGGCGCAAACGTACTACAGTCTGGCTTTGGAAAGGCGGTGGGGAGCAAAGGCAGGGACTAGGATTTGGTGATGGCCATACCCTTTCTTGCGCCAGTTGCCATCATTTCACGTGGCTGGATCACTTTAGGATAGGCGTGTTGATCAAGAATAATGAAAGAAGCAATTTGGGCAAAAGAATTCAGACAGAGTATTTGCATATTTACCCTTCACGCGTCTGCCCCTGTCAGATTATGCGGAGAGGTCGATGACCACGCACGCCAATGGAGACAGCCGGAGCAAACCAGAGCCATGTGATGCTGGAAGAGGCCTGGAAGAGGGCTGTAGGAGGGAGCAAACAACAAAGGAACCTTGATGTTCCAACGGTGGTTTTCGTGAAGGCCATTATGATTGGTTACCGAGAGATGCAAGAAGGAGCAAACGTTGGCATGTTGGCTGCATGATTGGGGGGTTAGACGAGGGACGTCGAGATTAGCAGCCGGACTAAACCCTATTGGTTCAGCCTCAGCCAGGCTATGGACATGGGTACCTTGTCGCCCTTTCCTGCCCGCCCTGTGTGCCTGTGGGTACATGGCCAAGGACGCACAGATCGTCCCATCTGGCACTTACCCACTCTGTCACCCACTGCTGCGTTTCACGGGCCCATTTCTTTCCCCGAAGCTCAATCTGCTGTCTCACCCTTCAAATATGCGGGAGAGCTATCGCAAGACATCACCACATCATCACGGAACAAGGGGAAAAGGAGCAGAAGAAGAACAGCTTCCAAGTACACTAGGAGAATTACCACCCACACCTGCCACGCCTCACTCGTATTGCAACTCACATCGAGCCTGATGTGGTGGGCACATCCCTCCAACTTCCAATGCAATACAACCTGACCGCAAGAACAAAGCCACCAATGCCATATTCCATAGCCGCGCCAGCAAACATCTCCCCGCATTGGTCGAGATCGACGCCTGGATCTAGCACTCTGATGGACCCGAGTTTCTTGCAACGCCAATGATGATGTTGAGACAGGGAGAAGGCTGCGCTGCGCTTCAAGTGAGCGAGAGAGAGAGAGAGAGAGAGAGAGAGAGAGAGAGCGTTGGTTGACTGGGGGGCGCCTTTTGGTTAAGCCACTACCTCGGACTCAAGATGTGCGGGCGGTCCGCTCAGTCTGCATCAACGCAGTACCTACTGTCGTTCATCCCTGCCTTCGCTTCATGCAACGCATGCTGGCTCAAGAAGGTATAGTTGGTTGCGGCCTTACTAGCCTCTTCCCTGCTCCCCCTTCTTTCTCTCTCTTTTCTTCCAAGCTTTGCCTTCATCGACGAGAGCAAAGAAATGGAAAGAGACATTGTTACTAGTCCAGCCTTCTCCATCGGGATCCAGACACTCTGTGGCATCTGTACGCATCAGCCACCTGCCCTGACTTGCGACATCCCGCAGTCTGCAGCCACAGCCCCGGCAACGGGGGGCAGTCGGAGTCATTCACGGGTTTACCCTCCTTCAGATTAATCGAAGTGTATGCTACTTATTTTTAATTCCATCGCGGCAGGTCAGGCCACCTCACTCACCGACATCATCTGTCGAGTAAAACGAAGGCTTAGACCGCAACTGTCGACTGATACTTCCAAGATATGCACACGGCTCATTCCGGTTCCTTCAACCCGCCTATACGTCCGATTTCGACAAAGTGATTAGCAAACTGTACGTATCGAGGGCAAGAAACCGTCACCGCCTCGAACAGACATGAAGACCCTAGGATCGGCAAGAATTGTCCGTCCTGGCCGCCGCCATGACGACCACTGACACCATACACGAGAGAAACGCCTGAGAAATATCCGCAGACAAGCAGGGAGGAAACAAGAACAGATTCGCCTGTACCCCACCAGGCAACATCCGACGGATCCCGCAAGACGTTTATGACCAACTAGCGGTACCTGGTTTCCGTCCGACGGATCATCCTCAGGGTCAGCGTTGACATTCCTACCGAAAGCCACATCGACGGCCCCCCAACTTTCATGAACCCGGTACTTGACCCTATACTGCTATTCCTCGCCAAGATAGGCGGCCGCCCTGGGGCTGTGACAGTCATGCGCTGCGTGACTGGAGCGCCCTCGGACCCCACTACCAGACTAGGATCCCGCCGTGGCTATGGTCCGATGTTCTCTCTACTTCTCTGTCCTAGTGGAATTTCAACTTCGCTGGCTGGATTGAAGTTTTGAGTGCCTTCAGCTATTTCCTTCTACCTGGTTCGCGTCTTGGCTCGCAAGGGTTGCCGATACGAACGCAGTCGATAGTAGTGGTCCTTGGCTGTTTACCATCAACCACTAAGAAGAAGGAAGTCGAGACCAGAGGAGCAGATCTGAAGCGTCAGTCTTGTTTGTTGCGGGAAGGAATCGACAAGATTACTCACTGCACCGATTCTAACATTAGAGCAAGATGCTTGACATAGAGCAACGGTCGAGACAGGGATTATTTGAAATTCCAGTCTGCTTTAGCCTGGTAGGAGACAAGACGGAGGCAGAGTCGCCGATCACTTTATTTCAGGGCAGCAGTCAGTATCCCATGAGGAAGCGCAAAGAGTTGGCAGTGACAGGTAAGAGATTGGCCCTAGGCGCGCGTTCGATGATGTGACTGTACACAAGCTGGCTACTCTTAGCCGACATGGCGTACTACGCCGCCCTCAGGATACGAACGGAGACTACGTTACGTGGGGAATTTATCGCGCGAAGATGCTGCCATACGTGCTGTACAGGCGCCTTCTATGAGACATGACCATTGGCGACTTATACGGCCGCGCTTCGGTGGCTCTTGGTCGAAGAATGGATCATTTACGTGTGGTCACACAACTCTTTTGTCACAAAGATCGTGAATCCGTGACAGGCTGCGATCCGAGCCTTCCAGCAGCCATTTTCGACGTGGCTGCGAGCAACCCCTGGACTGCCCCGCCCCAAGTCTTTTGGTCGCCGTTCATAAACTCAAGGATGCGTCCTAATCGGATTGCTTGCAGGCTCACTTCAACACTTCCCCCTAGCCCTGTCCATCACCTGTACTTCCTTGTTTGTGTGGACACGTCTTGTCCGGCTCGACTTCGGGACCGAACCTTCATCTCGTGGCCTCCGAGCAGGGCTGAGCGACCGGGATCACAGGGAGCAAGGCAAGACGTCTCGGCCAGGGAGTAGACGACTCGACTTTCATCAAACCGTGCCAATAACGTAAAGCAAACGGTTTTTCTGGGACTAACATGGCGTCTCACCTAACCTTGGCGTCTCGGCAACATGGCACAATCTTGAGCAGGATGAAGGCGCCAAAGCTTGCGCTAACTCAACAAAAGAAGCCATTCTTCACCAGGAACCCGGTAGCCATCTCCTCCTGGTCGCCTTCAGCGGGTTCCCGCCAATGTGAAGGCTCTTTTACCGAGTCTGCTTCCCTGGCGACGAAGGGCGACTGAATTGAACCGGGCGAGAGCACGTACCGCCATCAATCAAAAAGCCTTATCGGCCCTCAAGAGGCCACAGTAGGGATGATGCCCGCCTTGCAGTCGATCCTTTTACGGAGAATCTTTATTGATTGTAAATACAGAGTCTTCTTGCAGGCAAAATAAACGAGCCAGAATACTCGAAATTCGCTGACTGGGCGAGCTTTCGACGCTCAAACCTCTTTTGCTGACTACCAAACTAGGTCATCCTAGGTTGCCCTGTATTTTCAGACTCTGGGGTAACCTGACGGACGAAGTCTAGGTGAACGTTTGATGAACGGAATAGGAAAATGCTTTGGTTCTCGATCGTTCTCATAGCGTCAGTGCGGTCGACCTGGAATCAGTCTTTTCTCCGCCTGGATCATTCATAGAGATACGTCGTAGAGGGGTCGAAAACAAGCGCATTGCTGCTTACCGACTAGCGTCCGATGAGAATATAGCTACATGCTATCTTCTTTCTTCTGGAATACACCACCAGAGGACAGCAACAAGAGGAGTCGATGTGTGATTAGGTGGGCATCTTCCGACGAAGGGGGGGAGTGCGCGTTCCTCTCAAGCCGTCGAAGCCACGGGCCCCGCTGATGAAGTTGGAAGCCTCGACTTCGGACGGACAGCGGAGACCCCGGGAACCTTCGGGAGGTGGACTCGCGCTTGAAGCCTGAAGAGGGCCCGCGCCAGATCTCGGGGAGCCGGGCCCTTCTCCGAAGCAGCGGGAGGCTTGGTGCCGGCGCGGGAACTCTAGTGTCTGAGTCAACGCGGGATCTCGGACGGCTTAGACCTGAGTCAAGTGTCTGAGAGAGAGAGAGAGATTTGGGTAGATTGCAGAGCCCAGCACCACTACTACCTTACTTCCCGTCGTTGGGCTGGCTGGATGGCTCGCTTACACGGCTTCGGTTGTGGAGAAATACCAAGGCCAAGCCGCGTGCCGCATCGACGCAAAACGTAAGGCTCGATCGCAGGAGACCAACTTGTTTCGTTGCGTGCCGTGGGACTTTTCTTCTTCGCCAATGAATTCTTCTTCGACAGTGACAGCTGGAACGATGGCGATTGGGTTGGGGAGGAATGATCTAGGGAGGGTGCTAGAGCTGCCCAGGCGGGTCGGACGGCTTTCACGCGGGACTGTTGGACAGGGCCTGTTGGGTATACGCCCTTTTTTGCGTAAAACATAGAACGAAGGGGTAACGCGCGTATCCGACTGTTGTGAATGATTTACGGTGATGCCGATGAGAGTATCTTTTTGATACGGTCGCTTGGATATCAACGTTTCGAAGAGCGTGAGATGTTTGCTGCTGTTTGACATGATTAC